CAAAGTCCAAGTTAATTATTTACTTTTTTTTTCTTTTTTGATTATGACAGATATGTTCGAATTGGAAAGAGTTAATTCTAATAATGTCATTGTTCGAAAAACCGCAATTAATTTCAGAATAATTTGGATGCAATTTTTACTGGCCCTTTTTCTTATTCTTAAGACTAAGTTGTTTAAAAAGTTTAGCTTTGGTTTATATGCGCATCTCATTGCCTGTATACGCTGCCTTGTAATACCCTATACGTGCTTTATAGAACAGATGTGAAGATAGTATCTATAGCCACCCAAAAATCAACACTAAATGAATCGCCAATTAGACCCAATGGCGTAAGCAGCAGCACATCGAAACGATCACGTCGTAACGTCAGTATTCCTCGCACAGATGTCGTCTTATCTGGATTAAGTTATGATCCGAACAACCGTTGTTAATGGACTCGGACTGGATTTAAACTTATCAGAATGAAATGCAAAAATTAGAAATAGACCCCAGGTCGCCTTCAATATCAAATGAAACTGAGATTTTATCAAGCAAAGCGGCAGCTTAAATTGGCCTTAAACTGAAATACGACAGACTTTAAAGGATTTCTGATCGGTGTTTAGAGACCTTAAAAATTTTTCATGAATAATTTAAAACAAGAACATTATAGTCGGACAAAACTGACGTGTAAATACTCTACACCACATCGTTTAACACAATCCTTAGTTTTGTATGAAATCACTATAATGGATCAATTTTCTACAAAGAAAAAATTTTCGTGAAAATTCTTATTAGGATAGGATTCAAAAAATAAACCGAGATGGTCCAAATTTGGTACAATTCATTTTTTTATGTTAAGTTACGATTATGATATAATTTTCATCATGAAGCATTGAAAATTATACCTTTTCGTACCGAAATACTTCTACTACTTAGCCAATTTTACGGAGAAATTTCCAAAATTACAATTTTTTTCCATGCAACGACTTTTTAGAATAAAGCGTTATAGGGGTAGTGGTCGAAAAAATGCTCCGATCCGAACCATTTTCAATAGCGTTTAACCTTGGGTCAAAACATGTCCATATTTTATCCGTACCGTATAATCGTCAAAGCAAATTTGCACGGACTGTCATCAGAGAGACAGACGGACAGATATTCTTAGATTAATTCAGATTACGACTCTGAATTGCTCTGAAGCCCTTCTGCATGTTAGATACATCCTCACTAACTTAATATATCCTCTACTACAAACGCACTCGTATTCCTCTCTTCAATACAATAAATAAAAAAAAATGGTGCGCGCCTTCTAATTGTCATGAATTAAAGCGTTGGTTCATCCACAATTTAGAGATTTTAACTACAATCAACTACATTTGAAATCATTAAATACTATGGAGTATGAAGCGGACTGGGCGTAACTTTTCTCTTTTCCGCAATTATAACTTATCGGCCGAACAAATGAAACAAATCCGATAATCGTAGTAATTTTATCCTTTATAAAGTTTACAAAAATTTTTCTAATTACAGAAATTTATCTTGAATCGCCAACATGATCCCAATATTCGTTTAAGTGATGCCCAAAAAAGCCGCATGGAATGTACGAACCTGCTTTCCTAGATTCGAGTAGAAATTACAAAAAAATTGATTAAATATATGCCCATGAACTGCTCAAAAATGAAATAAATAATGATAGCTATATAAAACACGTGTAACCGCATTTTGGTGAATATTTTCCATATCTAGGTTCCAAGAATTACATTATAAATGAAAAGATAACTTTTTATATTTCGTTTTCTTTTTTTTAATATCACCGGTCATGCAGGCAATGTTTTCCTAAGCGAAGTACACGGTGATTATCACAAAAAAGTGGCGAAAGCGACAGGCTTAATTGGTCCAAGAATTTTCGGAACTATTATAAGTTGTATAGCATATCTACGCGGAACCTCTAAATAGATGCCAAATTTGGCAAACACATGTAGAAAACTTTACACCGATATCTAGCGTTAACTGAAAGCTATACTTTTTTGCCGCCTTGCGTATGGAATCATACTCGTTTTCAAAACAAACGTCTTTTTGTAGTGTTGCCATGCAAGAAGCCGACGATATTTTACACCCGAAAGCGAACCCTTTGATTCTAGATAATATGAAGAAGTAGAAACATACAGAAAATAAAATTACCTTAGGCTCGTCGTCCAACTCACTAATCTCATCGTCTCTTGGCGCACCAGAAGGAATAATGAGGCGGAACTCTGCTGAAACGGGCTTGTGAGTTGACAAGATATAATCTCCATGAGATTTATATGCTATTTGCTTTACGTCGAGCTGTTTACTAAAACGTCTCGTATGAAAATAGTGTAGAATTCGATCACACCATGCTGGACGTTGACGTAGATCATATTCGATAGTTCCTTCTACAAATTTACAGGTGGGTGGGAAATCTGGTTGCATTTCCCTCATTAATGCGAGTTTGATAGGCGCACCACGCATCTGTTGTAATTGATCAAATTTGTAGAGTTCTCTAAAATTTCCTTTATTCACAGTTGATTTTATAAAAATAGATGATTGGTCACCAATTAAACGGAAATTCAAATGGCCAAAGCAAAAAACAAAATTATGATCGAATACGCCGCGATAGTTGCGTGCTTTATATTGCTGGTTATGTACAATCCCCTCAAATTCTTGTACGCGTTCAAGGAAGTTTTCATCGCTTGCAGTGAAGTCACAAGACAGGAAAACAACTCCTACGCCGTAAAGATTGAAGCGTACACTTACTGATCCTTTACTGCCCCAGCCTGTATCGGTTCTTATGTGCCGAGTTTCTATATATTTCAAGTTATTCATATGCTCCGGTCGAGCCCAAGCGGTAATTAGCAAACCTCGCATACGCTCAGAGCCGATAGTCCTGTAACCCATTTGATCTAAAACGTCACCGATTTTCCACGACCATCGACGGTGGTGGTTTGTTCTCTCGTCGTATTGCGTATTTTGAAAGCTTATTACATAAATATCTGGCAAACGTGAACCATACGGGCAGACAGTGCTATTTATGGACAAAGCGTCGTTTAGAGGTGCACTCGGAGAATGGCCATCAACATTCCATGTTAATATATAAACACAAATTTGTACTAAAATATCTGTACTGCCCGTTATTACGCTATCACTCATTCTTATTTTTCCGCATTCATTAACTAGGTGCTCACGATGGCATAAAATCTGTTAAAATGGCATTTAATCAAATAATAACGTTTCCAATTCGCTCCACGTTCAAATTATCTCTTAATTATTTTTTCTTTTTTTTTTTTATTTGTAAAATATTTCAGTTTTATTCCATTCACTTTACAATTTTGAAAGGCATTATAATCTCAATTTAGTTTATATTATATATGTTTAACTTCTTAATCTGTTAAGTAAATATAATTTTTACTTACAAGAGAAATTTTGAATATTATTTGAAATTATTTATAGTTGCTGCTACGCATTTACTATGATTGCCAAGACACTCGAAAATGGTTTCTTATCTTCAACAGAAATAGCACGATTTCGTATATTTTTCAAAGCAAGTTTTTAAAAACTATTGAAATCCATGAAGTTCATATAGAGAACAGAATGTCCTATCTTGTCAACATAATAATTTTCCCTTTAGCTATATAAGGGTCGAACCTGTTCGGTATTTTCATTAACGACTTAGTTGCTTGTTGTCAAGATTGCACTATTCATTTATGATGATGCCAGATGATGCACAAATATACTTATCTCGGCCACGGGTGATGGTGGAGAATCTGATTCAGCTAGTTAACGGTGATTTGGTTCGCATCTCACGTTGATCCGTTGTCAATAATTTAAAACTTAATACGGATAAGACAAAAGCGATCGCGATATTATCCAACGTTTATGATTCTGACTCTCTACCTAATATTAGAATGGCTGATGCAGTGATTGACATTGTCAAGCAAGGTGTAAATCGCAGTCATCTTACGTTTAAGTTACTATCTTTATCCTACTCGTATATACCGACTCAAGTCAAATTGAAATTAATTAAATGTCTCGTGTGTAAACAACGCATACGGCAACCTTAACCAGCGCCAAGCCACAGTTGGCTGTCGAAGAGAATGCCAGATAAGTTTTTAATAAGCGCAAAGACTACAGAAAATCGCGGCTTTCGACAGAGATTTTAAATTCTCATTTATGCTTGTACGCCAAAATATCTATTTAAGAAAATTCGAGCCACACATACGACGAACGTAATTCTTCCCGACAACAGATATTTGAAATCATCAAGGCTATTCTCTATCAATGCTGTCAAGTTATGGAACTCGTTACCTTCTGATATCAAGGCAATGGTTAGTGTTTGTAGGTTTAAGTCAGCAATTAGGAAATTTTATAATCCTCCCTGTAATGAGTAATTATGTAATTATGTTGAATTTCTACGGCACTGAAGTTCGTATTATCCTATGTATTATTATTATTATTATTATAAATTTAGCCAGAGAATAAATTCTAAGACTAAAGTCTTAAAGCACTAGCATCTAGGGCTATCGGCTTTTATTAAAAAACTCTACCGCACTTGAGGTTTGAACCCACGACTATTGAGTTGCTAGTCGAGACTCTTGCCTACTCGGCCACTCAGGCGGATATCCTATGTAATACTTTAATTTGTGCCAAAAAAGACTTTATAGTCTTACTGGCATGCTAATTCCATTTTAACCTTAATTAATTATAATTGTTTATCTGATTTACTGACTAATTATTGCTTAAATAATTAATAATAAATAAAAAAATTAAAATAAAAAATTGGTGCTAAAATTAAACTCAAATAATATCTCAGTTATGATAAACAGATTAATGGCCTTCAGACACGCGATAGAATTTATTTTCGCGAACTTTATTAAAACTAAAACTATTTCATTCCATTAAAACTCAACATTATGCTATTTCATTATTTTGCAAAGAAATAAACTTGGAAACCCTAGTTTTGCAACTGTCACAATTTTTTGTTTATATTAAGTGTGTACAGAACAAAAACATATGCTTTGCTTTGTATTGACTGTCAAATTTTTGAATTTTGTATAAAATTAAAATTTGTTCAATTTATATTCATATTCACTTTTATTAGGTCCAAACCCATCCAGAGCGTGAAAAAGTATTGCAAATCACAAAAATGACACACGATGGAAACAAAGCAGAGGATAAAATATTAACAACTATACAACAAGAATATAAAATTTTAGCAGAATAGTAAGTTAATAAAAAGAGGAACGGAAAGCTCTTTTAGATAATTGCAATATATTTTTAGCAAAATGATAGAAGCTGAAAAAATAGGAGGAATATATGTTATACCTTCCTTCGGCAACTCCTTATGCAAGTTTTAATTTCATATTAAGACAAGACCAGTTAAATGATTTTTTTTTTTTATGCTTAGTGTGGTATGGCGTTTTGTTCGTAAGGCAGGGATTTTACGCTGAGGGCGTCTTTCGTTTTAACATGCTTTTGCCGGACAAATATCCGGATGATAATACTGTGCCAGTAAGTACAGTTATGTGGGATATATGGAGCTGTGTTTTCATTATTGTTGGTTCTAGACTGTCATCTTTCAAAACGAAATATATCATCCTTTGATATGTCCATTTACAGGGACCATGGATTTGAGTCATGCCTTTCCACAGTGGCGTTGTGGTGAAGATCACATTTGGCAATTGCTAAAGTATATGCAGTATATATTTAACGAGCCTTTGGATTGTGTACGTTTGACAAACATTACAAAATGGCTGAATTCGGAAGCGTTTGAATTAATAAGCCAAAATCGTGCTGGTTTTATAACAAAAGTAAAAGATTGCGTGAACTGCAGTAAGGAGCATGTATACGATAAACCGCCAACAGATGATCCTCATTATATTACATTTGACGAGTATAATGAAGAAGTTCACGGTCCCATAAAGCAACGAATAAGAGAAGGTAAAGATCCTATGCCTGGTTCAACTGCGACGGGTCCTAAAGGTTTATCATGGGTTAAACCAGGTGAATTTACACCATTAAGTTTAGAATAGTATATGTTTTTTTAGTCTTAATCTTATTAAAAGTTGCTTTATAACATGTAACATTTCTTTCATTCACCCCGTCGCTGAAAATGTTTCGGACTTACATTCTTAACAAGCGTTTCAAAAACGTTACAAACATAATGAATGAAACATAATGAAACAATGCATATGTTAACGTTGAGGCACGTTATCCAGTTACAACTTTTGATGAAGGAAGTAAGCTTGTCTTTCTGTTACAACGCTGCAAAATGCATCATTTCTTTATATATACATTTTATAAAAGTCACGAAAATTTTACACAACACAAGGAAAAAAGCAACTGAAATGCTTTACGATTTTCTCTTTATTTGCGAAATGATATCGTTACGAATGTTATGCTGTCTGTTTTCGTATTACTGTTGTTTGAATTGGTAACCGCAACGCATTTTATTTCACGTTTTGCAAACCCTCAAAGTTTAAATTGTTATATTGAAATGTTTGGCCACCTCTTGTGCAGCTAATACAATGCAATTCTGCGTCTGAGATACAAAATTATTTGGGTTGCTTAAAGCATAAAGTCGAATTTGCAAGAACAACCACATATACTACTAGTCGCAACCGCAGTACAGCAAAGGTTTAAATTTTTAGCTCTGCGTTATTTTGACATGTCTAACAATGTTTATTAACGTTTAATAAATCAAAATATAAAAAAAATAAAGATTTCCACTTCAAATTTGACAGAAACATTGAAATTTCTTGCACGCAGGTTGGTATTGAAAATGGGCCAAATCGGTCGAAGGATACGTCCGCATTATCATCTAAACATAGGGTGCACTTCTTTTACGTTTGCAACCAGAGTTTCCACTTTACTTTTCGTTTATTTATTTTCACAGCTGAAAACTAGTAATCATAGGGTGTTCATCGCAATTATAAGATTTATCTGCTGTGTGAGCAATTATTTTGATCCTCGCAACAACGTCCGCCAAACTCATCTATATATAAACAATTATTTGCAAATTTTGTGTGATATATTTCTCTTGTTTAGCTTCATTTTTTGAGAGACTTGTAAGAATTTATCATGGCAGGTAATGTTGATGATTAGATATATTCTTTTTAAAAAAATTACTGACATTTCACTACAATGAAGAACACAAAGATGAAAAAGCTGTTGCTGCTAGCGATGCTAACGATGTCACATCAAACGAAGGTGTTGAAGAGCCACCGTTGTTCCCTGGAAAGCGGCCAAATTACGGCACGAACAATACATTGGAGCTTTTGGAAAAAATTCCCAGCAAAGTGGTGGAAACGAAATTAGATGATGTCCTTAAAGCCGTGAAGGATGTGGACAATTTGTGCGACTATACTCGTTGCAAAGCAAAAACCAATTTAATTGGTCACACTTGCGAATACTGTCAAGGACGTTATTGCTTTAAGCATGGTCTGCCAGAAGTGCATGGTATGCGGTACTGAATATTTTTGTTTCATTAATTGTTAATCTAAAGTCATGTCCTTATTGTTCTCATACCAGGTTGTGGTGAAGCTGCCAAAAATGGCGAACGTAAGCGTTTTTTACACCCTAAACCAGCCAAAACTATCAAGCAAGAAGAAGAATTAGCCAAAGCTAAAAAGAAACTAAATGCAAAATTGAAAGATATGCAAGTGGCCAGAATGCAAAAGACTCCAGGAGCTAAAAGTGATGTTGCTTCTAAAACTTCTAAGAAAAAGCCAAATAAAACGTGAGAATAAGAACAATAGCGCTGCAGTTGTTTAGTAAATACGAAAAGCGAACTGCGGAAGGACAAGAGGTAATAACTGCTTTCTGTTTTAGTAGATTTGTTTACGTCTTCGTTACCATATTCAGCTGAGCTCCCAAAAACATATTTTCTGATACGAGCCGCCTTTTGTCAAAATTCTTAGTATGATGCCTTTGTTATAATTTCAATTGGAAATGTGCATATTTTTCAACTACAAAGAGAGAACCTCATCACGTTCAATAACTGCTGACTTTCAACTTGATGGTTCTGATATTATTTTAATAGTACCCATATGGACATTCGCTCAATATTTGTTGTTGGAAATCTTCGTCCGCGAATTTTCTCGGCTTAATATCTACGTTCTCGGAACGCTTAAAACAGTCTGTCCTTAGCATAAAGTAATTGAAACAATTACTTAAATTTTCGCAAATTTCGGTTGAAACCGTCGGTTATGCAAATCCCAAAAGAAAAAAATGTTTTTTTTTTTATTATTTATTACGTACATTTGCAATATTACACATAAATTTATTTTAGCGAATAATTCATTAAAATTAAAACAACTCAACCAGAACAGTAAAAAAACAAGTTTTTTTATGCTTAAGGCAATATTAATGTACACATTCGTACGCTGTTGCAAATGTAGAGTGCAAGAAGCCATAATTCGTTTAACAGAAAACGGCTAGGATGGTAACTAAACAAAAATAAATACATATATATGTGCAAATATATATGTATATTCATATACATCTCCATTAGGGCACAACTAGAGAATCTCTAAATCACAATGACGCATTTCAGGGTAATTTCTTCTGAAGTAGAAGAAGCCACAATTCGGTTAACAGAAAACGGCTGGGATGGTGACTAAACAAAAATATATACATATATATACATATACATATATATACATATATATATATACATCTCCATTAGAGTACAATTAAAGAATCTCTAGATCACAATGACGTATTTCAGGGAATTTTTTCTGAAAACAAGGAAGAAGTATAATTTGAAACTCTCAAGATCACTTGTTAATTAAGCTTACACGTAGTTTCATTTCAATGCGATCAATTTCACCGCCCATTAAATCAACTATATTTTCTCCATGACTCAAGAGGAATTGCTCTAATTCATCGACGGTTTGAAAAGATTTGACAACCTTAAGAAGAGGAAAAAAAGAAGATTTGTGAATGAACAATGTTGTACTCCAACAAGAGTGTCGATTGCGAAATTGCGTTAATTGGAAGGGATTTTCAAGAAAAAACCTTTGCAATACTACACCAATCTAAGCTTTCATTAAGGCTATTGCGGATGCATTGGCGTATTTACTTGCTGACCACAGGAAATCAAGGAAATATAATAAGTAGCAGTAGATAATTCTTTCAATAATTAATTCGTATCCATATCTTTCCGAACTTACTTTAGACGAAAAATCCGTTCAAATTAACGCACAATTTCGATATTTGTTACCTTTAGGAGTTCGCTTAGTTCTTGTTTATCGAAATAAAAGCGAGTTAATTCGCGACCGTCAAAGTCTATTTCAGCCTTATAACGTACCAAAGAGTTGCCCATATCGATACCTTTAACGTCATGTATAGCTCGTATCATAATATCACTTTCCAGCTCCGAATTAATGCGCTCCAAATGTTCCTGAGGTATAGATCTAAAAAAAAAAAAGTTTTTCCTCTCTTAAAAAACAAAAGCATTCCAATATGACTTACCTGCCAACCAAAGCGGCAACATTAGTGTAAATTATAAACGAAGCGACGGCCCCCAATAAACTACCTACTAAAAGAGACCCAACAGCGTCGTATACGGGAGAACCCGTATAAATAGATACACCCATACAACATGCGGCCACCACCACACTAGCTACAGCAGCCGCGTCTTCCGTTAATACCACGTTAACGCAGGGATCTTTGCCAGTGATAACTAAAATGTAAAACAAGGACGAGATCCAAATGAGATATCAGTACAAAAAGCAACAAGTTCCTTACCATATTCTTTAAAAGGAATACCACTCAGTTTAGCAGCGCGACGTATTTCATTCACTGCAACTAAAAGTGTCGCGCCTTCAGAAACTAAAGAGCCACCTAAAATGAAGAGAGCCCAAAGGAAATTCTCCATAGGCTCTGGATTCATTATGCCCGTAATACCATGATATACTGATAGACCGGTACCCACGCAAAAGATACCCACGCCTGATATTAAAGATGAAACATATTTCATATTACTGTAACCATACGGATGATCGGGGTCGGCCATTTGTGTTGATTTATGGATGCCGTACGCCAAAATTAATTGATTTATGGTATCCGCCAATGAATGCACAGCTTCAGCAAACATGCTATGCGAACCCGAATAAAGCCAACCGCCCACTTTAAATAAAAAATTCAGTCCATTACTGCACAAATGCAGTTTTAAGATAAATGTTTTTTGTGAAATCTTTTAAATGCTTTTATAATACTTACATGCCAATAGCTATCAATACAACTTTTCCAGATTTCCCTCTTAGGCCGGGTTCGTCTTCGATTGTTGTAGTTCTATATCCCATTTCACGGCGGTAATCGCGCAGTCTTCGTTTCACAGTGAAGATATCTGAAGAGGGACTCAACTGATGCCTTTAAACATTTTGAGGATTTCTATTAGCTTATCTTCACTTACTCTGTTGATGTGTCTTACGTTCAAGCTCGCGTTTAAGGGTTTCTCTAAGCAGAATCTCCTTTGAACCCCACACTTCTATCGCTTTAGCTTCAACATCCTTCCGCCAGTATACAGTAATGGGAGGTTCTTGTTCGTACGGTGAACGTCGCTTGATTTTTGGCAAAGGCTCTAAATCGGCAGCCTTTAACAAGAAGTCACTCATGGCGCGTGCGGGTGTTATAAAGTTGCGTTCCAATGAGGAACGATTACAATCAACTTTGATGCGTTTCTAAAAGTAAAGAAACACATCAATGGATTCACCTACAAATTTGTTTTTGCTGATCACTTTACGGGTTTTGTCTTCACTTCTGACGGAGCTTTACTGCTCGATGTCTTCTTTGTTAAGAGTTCATCACTTGTGGCTTTAGACATCTGTATTGTCATACTAGCAGCTTTTGCGGCTGCATTAACTTGTTTAATAACAGCATTAGTGGTCTTGCTCAATTCCTTTGTTATCGTCGGAATAACGTCTGCCTCTTTTTTTAAAATACTTTCTGCCGTAGTTTCAATAGGCGTATCGATTGTAAGAGAATTGGTTTTTTCAAATACAATTTCGTTTATTTTTGAATCTTCGATAGTGGTGGTTATTGATAGAATGCCTTTTGATGTCTCAATATCGAGTTTTTTTGTTTGTGTAGGCGCATCCGCTGACATCAAAGATGCCAGCTGAGTTTCACTGACTGCTTTCGGCTCGGTAGCTGTGTTTTCTGTCGTTTTGGTTTGCGTTGTAATCAAAGAATCGCGGGTAGAACCAGAAGAACTCGTCGTTGTAAATGCGGACGCAGCTAATTTCTATATAAGAAGTATTTTTTAATTCCGGATACTTTAAATTTCTTTATTTCAGCTAATCTACCTTATCTTTATGGGAGCAAATTGTTCTGGCAATTTTTATAGGCACTATTTCGCCATAACCCGATAATAATATTAGCCTATGAAATCGCTTTAAAGCTTGTTGACCTATAAAGCATTGTTTAAGATGTAAGCTTCGCACTAAATCCACGCTGCGGGGCAACATATTAGAAATCCTTAAGTGCTACTTTTTATGCTGCGCGAAATTTTTCTAAACTTGTTCACAAAAAATTATTAACACCTCGTCTCCTCCTGTTAAATTTCTTGAACAGGCTTCAACGACAGAGACCTGACGTAGTTTGTTCAAAACACAGGAAAACGCAAAATCAACGATAAATAGCTGCTTTCCTTTTTTTCGGTTATTTGAAGTCTTTTTCATTAATTTTGCTATGAATCAGTCGTTAATTTATGAAAACATATTCCTTTTTCCGTTTAGTATTTTTTAATTTAATCAATTTTTGCAAAAAAATGTTTCAAACAAAAAAAAAAATTGTGAAAGAGAGAATGCAAAACGTCAAAATATTTTGATGAATCTGTAAAACCTTGCCAGAAATGATTTTTTCCGATAAATTAGTGATGGACATTCAAGTCTATTAGTTGCTAGATGCCCTTATATACTGCAATGCAAACTTTTCGTTATTTGACTTTAAGGTTTAGTATAATAATGCATAATTTAATTATTTATAGTTTAATAATAGTGCATTTTTGCATATATTTTGTCAGAAAATTATGGGATATGGCCAACATATAATTCCAAATAAATATTTTTCTTTGTTATTATTTACACTATTGTTCGCATCAGCAATTGAAGCATTTTCTACAGTTGCCTGTGCTTATTGCTGTTGTTGTTTTTCTAAAGTTATTATAATATCAAATTTTTTGCTCTAATCCTTTTTCGACATATATTTTGAAAAAAATGAACATAAAAAACGTGTTTTACTATATTAAAATGATTAAATATAAGTGCAAAAGATAGTAACTCTCCGTTTAGATTGGTCCAAGGACTATACTACCATTAATCGAACAGGTCCAGACAAACACAAAATCCGCAACTTGTCGCGCATAAGTTTTAGTCATTTGGCAGAAATCTCGTTCTATCTCAAAGTACACAGCTCTAAACTTTTACAACCCCAGACCATTTTTCTACAATTAATTCTAATACGCTGGCATCAAAAGCTATGTGAAGCTATTTTCTTATATCACGTACCTTCGCTAAAAAGGGATAACACTTTTTTGTCTCACCCCTATAAGCGCCACGTTAACTTAAAATGACAATTTGTTCAAGGTTATATTAAATATTCCACGAATGGAATTTCGTAGCTTAGAATTGTAGTATGTTACACGTGAATGTAAAGAAGGTTATTTTCCCAAATAATTCTTCCTTCTAATTCTGAACCCGCGGACTTCGAAAGTAAGGAATGTAGTCTCTTCACTTAGTTCAAAATGCTCAAAATATCCATGCTCAAATTAACATTCATTTTTATTTATTAATACAAACTTGGATTATTTTGTGTGATACTTTAGTGGGCAGAGCCAATTTGAAGCTTGTTAGAATATTAACAGGATTAGGAAATTGGCGGAAGCATTGATGATGAGAACTGTCTATAATATTTCTCTTTTGTTTTCTTTTTTATAAGTGGGAATATGAGAATTGAGAAGTGAGGACATTTGCTACAAAGGTTCCACTTTCTTTCAATTTTTTGGAAATATTGTTAAGATAGTTATTAGAAATTGAATAAACGTTATTGTTTCCAATCTATTCTAAGGCACACATCTTGGTGAATTTCCGGTTGTTGATTTGTTGAATATAAGAAGAAGAAGGTTATTTTTTCTAAAATAAATCTATTATATAAACTAAGAGGAATGTTTTTTTGTTATGCTCTGTCATCAGCATATGACAAATAAGAATGCATCACAATTTTAGTAAATTGATTAATATCATAGGTTAACATGTAGCATAATATTTGAAGGGAATAAAAGAGCTATTTCACCAGCGGTTTGCAAGATTGCAATACAAGATGAAATTTTTCATATAGGTACCCATAATTAAATTTGAAAATTGGTGCAATTTATTACAAATTATTGAAAAAACTTTCCTAGTCAATAGAAATTTGATACAAATATATTATTAAATTAATCGAAAAGGTCAGGATAAAAAAAGTAAGATGAGTTCTTATTAAAGTACTTTGCAATTTCTATGCAATCGCTTAAAATATTGGGTATCCAAGATTCGGCTTAAGGGGTGATTATTACTTTGCTTACTTTACCTTATTTTTGTCGTTACCGATTCATTGTATAAACCGGTTATTGAAAATAGGTGAATAATGGTAAGCACTAAATGTAAATTGAAGAACAAAGAATATCAGAATCACATATGAATTTAGTTATTTTAAAATTAACGATTACGATAAAAGATCTTAATAGGAAAAATAGTTGCTTGATTTACACCAACTCAAAATTTGGCAGTGAATGGAGTAAAAATTTGAATAGTTTTGGCGAAAAGAAAAAATAAAAAAAAAGAAACAGCTGAAGTTTCTAAAAATTGGAAAGAGCAAGATAGAGTTGTCGCTAAGTAATTATTGTTATCAAATGTTTTTTTCTTCTTACACTAATTTAATTAGCAGCAAATTTTTTTTAGGTTGGTGTGCAAATTGTCAACAATAAAGTGGAATTCATAAAGTTATGGACGGCGATATTGTAGCCCAGTTATGTATTTACATACTTACATGGAATGTGGGTGGTCATTACCCCGATGATATTTCATTAAACGATGCGTTATCTTTAAATGCGACTGTTTGTCCAAACAATTCTGATGTACCTGATATATACGTGATAGGCTTCCAGGAAGTGAATACTCAGCCAAAAAATCAAATTATGAATTATTTCCAAGATGACCAGTGGACATTTAAAGTGAAAGAACACTTGGATGACATGGGTTTTATAAAACTGGGCGCTGAACGTTTGCAAGGAATGTTAATTAGCATGTGGGTTCAGCCAAAGCATATTTCTCATATAAGAGAAATAGAGACGCAGAATACGAAAACTGGTTTCGGTGGCCTATGGGGCAATAAAGGAGCAGTAAGCATACGTTTAAGTCTTTACGGTACAGGGGTGGTGTTTGTAGCCTCTCACTTAGCCGCGCATGATGAGAAGCTACGTGAACGCGTAGAAGACTATGATCAAATTGTTGATAATCATCATTACAAGGCACCAAGATATCGCAACATTTTTGATCACAACTTTGTATTTTGGTTTGGTGATTTAAATTTCCGCTTAGATAGTCACGACTCAGTTTGGGATATACGAAATGCAGTCGAGCAAGGACGCTTAGATGAACTTTATCAATTTGACCAGTTAAAATTGGTGCGTGAGACGGGTAATGCGTTCTCGCTAATGGAGGAGAGAAAGCCCAATTTTCCACCCACATTCAAATTCATCGAAGGAACTTCAGATTATAATCTCAAGCGTCGCCCCGCCTGGTGTGATCGTATACTATATCGCTTACAAGCACCTGTTTATCCTGATGTACAACTTAATTTGAAACAACTGGCATATAAATCTCATCCCGAGTACAATTTATCAGATCACAAACCGGTTTCAGCGGAATTTCTAATTACGATTAAAGCTGACAAATACACTGATGATGAGCTTTATGAAATGACTCACGGCGGCAGCTTCATATCTCTACCTCTAGTAAGGCTTATTTTCATATCATTCTATTTGACTATATTTTAATTTGCTTTACAATTTCTTTTTCAATTTTTTATTTATTTTTTTTGTTGTTGACTTTTATGTAATATCATCGATTTGCTTTTTCGTTGGCGCATAGTTACACGTTCATTAGTTTTATTCGAATGTTATTTAAATGATAAATGTGTGCATATGTTTTAAATCTTAATTTTTTTTATAAATTATTTGTAAGCGTATAGAATTTTTTTCTTCTTCTTTATTATAACAAGTATTCACTGTGTTGAATACTTTAGCAAGCAGTTGTAGAATTTTGTCAGATAATTTTATTTTAATAAATTTAAAATCGAAGATAGTGAAAATGTTTTCGAATTGATATAAATGTGATTAAAAGAAATTTTTTATTTTTATACACGAATTTCACAAAGAAAGGACGGGTAATTTTTTAACAATCATTCTCCTTAAAAAAAAACGTATTGGCAATATACACTTACGCCGATGCTTAATTCGACTCATTCGTGCATATTTCCTTGAGTTTTTCGATATAAACTTTCATTCCCTTCTCCACATCTATGAAGTTTAGTATTAGTGACTTTGCAAAATTATTCTTTTAACTTTAACGATGAAACGTTAAGTTTATGAGGACATTTTTCTACCTTAAATAGTAGTTAGCTGATTATGGGTGAATAAAATAAGAAAATATTTCCAATTCTAGCCGAATTTATTTGTGACCATTATTATTATTATTATTATTATTATAAATTTAACCAGAGAATAAATTCTAAGACTAAAGTCTTAAGGCACTAGCATCTAAGGCTTTCGACTTTATTAAAAACTCTACCGTACTTGAGATTTGAACCCACTACCATTGAGTTGCTAATCGAAACTCTTGCCTAATCGGCGTATTTATTTGTGACTAAAAGTTGAAGCGAAGGCCAGTTTACTTGGATGACAAAACTTTGCGCATTAACTTGCCACACCTAAAATTTGAAACGAAGGCCAGTTTACTTGGATAACAAGTATAACACTAGAAGATTGCTGGCTTCGATCACTGATCACCAAACTCACCACAGCTTTTTCATGCATTTCCCTTTATTAGTTATAAGCAAATGCTTGGCTCAGTTTATTAATGGATATTCGTGTTCGTTGTGGAGATTTTATTCATAGCGAAACTTTGCCAAACTAAAATATTGAAAATTTAAATTGCAAAAGTTATTAAATTCATCTATTGCTGTAACTGATTCTTTTGGATAAGAGTGATATGAAGAATTCAGGATCAAATCTTTGCCTTCTAGATAAAATTTCAATGCATATTCAATAATCTAATGTAACGTCTATGATGTTTATAACCAAATAAAAATTCTAATTCGTTTAAATTTACTGCCTTATTCATTTGTTTATGTTATTATAGAAATATTTTTAAAATATGGTTTATTAATAATTTTCTTCCTTTTGCTTTTTATTGCTTGAACTTAGATGGCATTCTTTGATGAAAATTTACAAATATTTAAAGCAATTTTGAGAGCCATTAAGAAAACATTTCGAATTGTGAGAAATACATTTGGTTTATATTAAAATGAAAATGTGAATATCATTTTAAAAAATATATAAAAATTAATTATTAGAAAAGAAGATAATCTCGTAATTATGTTTAATCAAAAAAGCTCTATCAGCTATCGTTGTAAGTTTCTCTTGAGAATATAAAAGGGGAAATTTTTCAAATTAAAGCATTAACTATAAAAGCAATGTTTTTCAACTTGTTGCTCAGTACAAAATTGATACTGAAGGGAGTAAATATATCGATATATAATGTTAATTAAATAAATATTTTAAAAGAACATCGGCAACGAAACAAGTTTGACGTAATTGTGATTCCCATAAAAAACAAACCAATTAAACTGTCTTCGAAGAGAGAAAGTATTTAAGAAAGAAATTGAAAGTAAACCACTCGGCGTATATTGTTATAGCGTAAGTTAAAAACAAAACAGAAAAAAAGACATGGTTGTTCCAATGTATGATGCTGTCGATGATTGCACTGAGGAGGTCAACGAAGATTACAAAGATTTTGTGGTTAATCGTAAGGAAATACGCATAGTCCATAATGTCAGCAATTTACGTTTCATTGGCAATGGAAATCGCATACGTATTGAGAATAATGCAGGAGATTTGCTGGTGATTGGTAATAAGACTGCGTTAAGAGTGCAAAAAAATCGCGGCCGGATTAAATATATCGGAAACGAAGGTCGCATTAATTTAGGAAAGGAATCAATTCAGCAATCAGTCGATTATATTGGTTGTAAAGGCATTTTAAAAATTTGTGATTTTTTTCTCTGTCAAAAACATCGACAACCATCTGACTCATTAAACACGCATGCGGCAAAAGCAAGAGATCAAACAAGTTCAAAAGTGGCAAAAAAATCACAAACATTCGGTGCTTACCATTATTCATTATTAAATCAAAAAATTGATGAATTGACAATACACAAAAAAATCCCCGTTAAAACAATATCAAGTGATTTAAAAACAAATCCTACAATTGTACAAAATATTGGAAATATAAATATAGAGAATGCATGTAATATTTATATAACATCTCATGTTGACGATGTCATGTCACAAATTATGTAAGATTCAATTAGATCACTGTTTTCTGCTATTTTGAGGGTCTAATTGCTTGGCTTGATAAAGACTAAGAATTCGGGCGGCCGTAATCAGTTTCAATGACTTTTCCATATCTAGCGCTAAGTTATTTTATTCAAGTTCCTACTTGCGTCGAATTCAATTCCATCGAAATAAGCCGTAATTAACTATGGATCCATTCGCAATTTGCCAACTGGCTAAACTTCTTGTCCTGCCATAATTTCCTTATCACAATAACTGACAATAGGTACATGAAATCCAAGTCCGTCTCGGTCCGTGCGATTTCGCAGTCTTGACCAATTGTGTTTTCATTTAAAAAGTTTTTATAAAAAATTTCCGAATGAACAGTGCTTTTTTAACACGAAACCTATCAAAGATATTAATACGATCTTTAAATGTTTTTCATTTTCTAGAATTAATGAATTAATTGGAAGATAAAGATAAAATGACGTTGAAAATATGTATATTAATTGCTTATACCGTAATTTATTAATAAATTTTATATAATTATTACAGCAGTATTCTTAAGGTTTATTTATTTATTTATTATTGATGATGTATATAAATAATAAATGGAAATATGCAATAAAAATACGAAGGCGAATTTGAATTGAGTCAAGAAAGGAAATGTGTACGCGATAAGCAATCGTTTAAATTATAATCAAAAAAATTAGAGATGCATTCCTCAGTAGGAATATATACACCCAAATCTTTTTTTACTCGGTACAAGTGTCCCTTAGAAATCCGTGCAAAAAAAAAAAAATCATTTAGACAAACACATGCGGCATATTGTAAATTGAAGGATATGTTTCACAAGTTTAAAAAATCATGTTAGATGAAGAAATTGCAAATATTTTTCCAAAAAAAACGTGCAAAAAAAATAATGAAATCCATATTACATTGAATAATGAAATCCATATTACATTGAATAATGAAATCCATTTACATTACATACAACATATAAAAATTGATATTGAAATTGAAATTAGGAATACGAAATCAATTTCCTAATTATTCATCCATTCCATATTTATCTAATTTAAATACGACATAGGCAAAACGCGTGTATTAAACATAGTTGTTTCGACTTTAAAGAGTCCGATAGTGAGATTAAGTGATAGACATCGTTTAGGTTTCTGACTTTTAGGACTCATTACAAAGAAACTATGATGGTCAAGGTGCGAGATAGCACTAATATTCTGTTGCTCGGCTGTTATGTTTTTCCTTTTTTTTTGCTAATCTTTATACATTTCAAAAATTTAAAAACTTTAGAATTTATTGCCTTAAAAACATTTAACTAAAACAAACCTATTCGCGTTTTCCGTTCGCCAAACTGTCAACAGCTGTTTATACCCACTTTTGAGTTTTATCTATTCTCCTTACTTCAGCGTGAGTTTTTTATTTTTTATTGATTCGGAATATTCTTCAAGCTCACATATTAATGTGATTTTCTTTTTATTAGCAGAGAATTTTGCCAAAAATTAGTACAGAAAATATATTCAAAGAAACGTGAAATAAAATTAAAAAAAAAAAAAATAAAGATTAGTAAACATAAAGAAAATATTATTAAATCCGCGCGTCAGCATGTTTGGCCAGTCAAGCTTGGGAAGCACGAGCACGAATCGAATGAATGACTTCGAAGTTGTGGCTCCGCCCGAAGACTCCGTGTCTGCTTTGGAATTTAGTCCAGCTACAGTGCAGCAAAATTTTCTAATTGCCGGTAGCTGGGACAGTAGTGTACGTTGCTGGGAGGTAGAACAAACTGGAAAAACTGTGCCAAAATCCATGAAAACTATGGGTGGACCCGTTTTAGATGTGTGCTGGTCTGATGATGGTACAAAAGTATTCATAGCCAGTGAAAAGCAAGTGAAAATATGGGATTTGGCTTCAGACCAGCAAATGCAAGTAGCCGCACACGAAGCACCCGTTAAAACATGTCACTGGATTAAAAGTAGTAATTACACATGTTTAATGACCGGTTCATGGGATAAGACTTTAAAATTTTGGGATACTCGTTCGCCTAATCCGATGTTAGCTATTAATCTACCTGAACGGTGTTATTGCGCGGATGTCGATTACCCAATGGCGGTAGTGGGCACAGCAGGAAGGGGTTTAATTATTTATTCCTTAGAGAATAGTCCAACAGAATTTAAAAGACAAGAAAGTCCCTTAAAATATCAGCATCGCACTATTTCAATATTTAGGGACAAAAAGAAAGCTCCAACTGGTAAATTTTTTATGTTAAGAAATGTGCAAACCCTTAATGAAACTTCTTTTTCATAGGATATGCCTTAGGCAGCATTGAAGGACGTGTGGGTATACAGTATGTGAATCCAATTAACCCTAAAGACAACTTTACCTTCAAGTGCCATCGTTCATCGGGTTCTACGGGATTTCAGGATATTTACGCAGTCAATGATATAGCTTTCCATCCGATTCACGGCACTTTGGTAACCGTAGGCTCAGACGGCACTTTCAGTTTTTGGGACAAAGATGCTCGCACAAAACTCAAATCTTCGGAGACAATGGATCAATCAATCACAAAATGCAGTTTCAATGCTAATGGTCAAATCTTTGCATATGCTGTAGGCTACGATTGGTCTAAAGGTCATGAATATTTCAATCCTACCAAGAAGCCACAAATCTTTCTCAGATCTTGTTACGAAGACTTAAAACCACGTACCACTTAAATATTTTTGTTGTTTTTGAAACTCGATTTTCAAAAACTTAAATTTATTGCAGAGAAGTTAAATAAAGATCCGATCAATATCACGATATATGTATGAAATATTCTAGCTTATCATTAGCCAATGGGGGAAAGACGTCAACAACAACGCAGGTCTAGTGATGACCACCTTCGCTGCCGCCATGATGACCGTGATGATCATTGCTTCCCAATAATGTCTCTGCAGCAACGGTGAGCGCAGCAAGACCCAAGCCGTAGACAAAACCCCGGGTCATGAACACGCGCAAGCGTTGTGCATGCGTTCCCCACTGTGCAGTATCATAACGCCAAACCTCATTACTAGAAAAATAACAAACTACAATTTTATTCTTTTACTATCCTAATAAATGCTTACCGCAACCAAGGATCTTTCAGCCCCTGTCGAGCAAGAGCCTCTTTAACCTGTTTCAGTTTGGGGATATCATCAACATTGTAAATACTCGGATCTGGAATTTTATATGGCTCACCGTGACCGTGCGCTCCCATCGTAACTGAAATGAATACTTAAGATGGGATTTAAATATTTCTCGTAAGACGTCTCTCTTTGCTTTATTTCTCAGAGATTACATAAGTTTTTAATAACTTCTATTGTTATTTCAGCATATATTGCCGCACCAAAATATTTGAGGTTATCAATTTAACTAATGCTTTGTTTATTTAAATATGATAATGAAACTAATATAGACATTTACCTAATTTTATTCTTGGCGAATTTAGAAATTACGGTTACTGTCTGATAGTACTTGCAAGCTGCGATCTATGGTTACCATCAATCTTCGTTAGAATAATCAACTAAAATATGTAAACAAAAACGGAATAAAACTTGATGGGCACTGACACAATGAGCGAACAGCTGTTTCCATTGCTTATCAATTATTTAACTTTTATTCCCAAGCCGGAAAAAAGGCGCGTTCTCGTTGTGCGATTAGGCTATGCTAACAAAAAGTATGTTGTGTTAGCAGGCATTGAAGAAGTGCTATTCTTGTCGCAATATATGTAGCATCGAAAATACAATTCTTTATGGCAGTGTAATGCCAAGTTATTGATAACGACAATCATACCAATAGTAAATAAAACACATGTGTTTTTGTAGCAAAATAAAAACGAAAAAACAAAGTAAAGAAAATGAGCACAAAACTTGCGTAATGCGTTGTGCTTGGCGCACGAACCGTCAACATCAAATTGTATGTAATTAAAGGCAAATTAACCTATAATCTGTTTTGCGTTATCCGTGAACGCAAAATTTTGTCAAACTTCAGCCTTCGCATTGGTTGCTTGCATTGACTAAAAAAATTTGAATTGTAATAATAAGGAACATTAAAAAACGAAAAATTAAATTATTTCTTTAGTATTCTATGTAGAGTAGTGTGTGGATAGGTTAGCATTAAAAAGAAAAATTTTTAATTTGAATCACCGAGTTTGTCTTGGTATATGAAAGCAAAAATCAAAATTTTTATTCAGCTTAGACAGTGACAGGCAGTGACGCCCTTTTACCAAATATATTTCGGCAAAGAGTGATGGTTTCAGCGATGAACAGCCGAGAAGTTTAGGCATTTTTTATATAGTTATCAAGATTACTCATGACAAAGAATTCATAGGGAATCTTTTGTCTCTCGTAATTTTGCTAAATCTTTTCTTTGTTTGACGAGGTTCCCGTTTCATCACATACGTCAACTCACTTTACGATAGAATATGACGAAGAGACCATTAGAAATGTTGCTTATGGATAATATGGGAATTCATTGGGAAACAATAAAAGAAAAAAAAAATTTGTAAGAATACTTCCCGATGCAATATTCTCTGCATCATTAATTTTAGATTACAATTGAACTAAACTTTGACGCCGGTCCACAGCATACAACACATAATTTTATAATGCAGACTTACTAACCATTCCCATAACCAGCAATTCTTGCTGTTTGCCCTTAGAAATTTGGGTTGGGATCCGATTGCCTCTCTTCCTCCCTATGAAAATAGGTTGCTTCTGCTGTCCTTACCGTCTCTTGAGAAACGTAGGTTTGTTCTTGGCGTTTCCTTTGTAATCAAAGTAATAAATGGTGCTATATACTCGCCTTTATTACTTGGTAAAATAAGCTTCAATGTCCCTAACCGCTTCTCTAGGCACTTTACCTTGGTTAAGCTTAGTCAGTGTAAATATAATTATGAGCTGTTTAATCCGCTCAGAGTAGTTTGCAAGAACCTAAATGACGTCTATCACTTATTCTCGTTATTGGACTCTTTAAGGTCCAATAAAGCAACATTGTTTAATACGCGCGATTTACCTATGTCTTACTTAAACTAGCTTTTATCCTTAAAAGTCGTTATGATTGGAAAATGAATTGTTGTTAAGTATTATCGGTTGCCAGGCTTATGCATGTTTGCGATGGCTTAGGGGTTCATTTGCAATTTGGTCCTATACCGGTTGTAGTGTGGCGCTATGCTGATAGTGTACATGCTTTTTTTTCTTTTTTCTTTTTTTTTTCTTCTTCTTTGTTTTATTATGCTTATACTCAATTTTATTGTTAATTAATATTAGTCTTGCATTAAGAGCCTACTGAACTCGACTGTTATTTGTTTAGTTGAGTTTCTAGTATAAGTGGAATAAAATAAATAAATAAATAAATAAATAAATATGCAGAGCAAGTAAACGGAGTGGTTAGAAAAGCCTTACAATCTTTGAGCTTATGGTTAAAATTCTCCTTGTCAATAAGTGAGGGCTAACTTACTGTTTAGTTAATCGTACAAAGATCTTGACAATTTCTTAAGACGACAAATAGCTGCACAATGAATAAGGTACAGTCCGTGGACATCAAATTATACTATAATACTTTAATTTGTTTACTTTCTTTTCACTGAAGGTTAAATCATTTTTTGGTTAAGCTTATGAAAAAGTTATTACGGGCATTGTGCAGAGAAGTTAAGCGAATTGCTTAACTATGCAAAACCCAGTAACAGCGCATTCATAATAAACAATCTATGAACTTCTGACTAACGTAGTTTAGATGAATAAAACTGAAAGTCAACTCATTCAGCAAAAAATTACACTCAAATTTTCACTTAAGCTTTGTACTGCAGATATAATTTTAAAGCTTACTCTATTAACAAGTTATAATAATAAAAGGATTTGTATCCTTTTAGGTAAAATTTGAAATTTATACCTAAAAAGAGAACTTTGTTGTAAAGTCTCAACTCAAACTTAATAGTGAACAACTAACGCATCATTTTAGCTTTAGCCATAGACCCAAAACGCGATGTTGCGCTTATGTTCGAAGTTCTAAGGGAAAATTTAGTTTATAAATTTATAAATTAAATGTCCTCCCCAAGCGAATACAAGAATACAAGCGAAAATTAATTGTGTCATTTGACAAAAAATGCACTAAATTTAGATCAGGTCGATTCGTGTCTTGGGCTCTGTCCTGTATAAGTGTCAGCCTTTACACCCGAATGAAATATAGCTTTTCATATTTTCTGACAAAAACACAATATGTGAAAAATTCCTTTAACCGAATTAATGCAGAGTATTTAAAGATAGGCTATGCTCTCCCATAATGTTTTAACTTGTTTTTATTTAAATATTTTTTCCTGACACTCTTCAAAGGATTGTTTACAAATGAAAATCAATTTAAAGGCTCCCCAACATTAATAGTGTCGTTAGGACACCAAGAGCGCCGGAAAAAGAAACAAAAACAGTAAAAATTGGCAGACGTATATCAAGGTCTAAACAACTGCTTTGTTGATTTTTAATTGTTAAAACATTCAAAAGGAACAACAATAGATCAACTCTTTTAATAAATGCTTAAAGCTGCGGATTTACTGAGAAACGAGTTTATAAACACTATGAGCACATCACAATTATATCTAAACTTTTATATATAAACATCACAGAAATGTAATATATATTCTTTATTATATAAATGTATCAAAAATATGCATTCATCTCCCCTTGTACGTCT